AAATCGGGACAAAATTACAGTTATTAACTAATGGGATTTTGAAAACTATCTGAGTTTGAATTAGCGAGGATTTCCTGTACCAATTTTCTTTTGATTTTATAAGATTTTAACTTTATAAATCTCAATTACAAAAGATTTAAGTAATTTAATAATTCTTTAAAATACAAATTCTAGATTCTTGATTTCAGGTTCTTTTAATATTAACAATTAAACATGTAAAATACATTTTATACTATTGGCTATATAAAATTTAATAGCATACATATAGAAAATTAGCAAATAAAAGATTGGTACTTTATTAAAACTGAGTAGATTATAAGTATTTATATTTCTATTGATCCCAAGCATTATATTGAATTGACATGTGAAATTAGGATTCATTATTGGTGAAGTTAACAATAACGAATTAAATAATATTAAAAATATTTTAATCAAAAACTTACATAAATTGTTATTGAAACAATGACTTAATATTGAGATTTCCTATAAATCAAGTTTATTAATAAAATAAACTGTTTTACAAAATTTTTTTTACATTTAAAAATTACTATAACAATTACTATTAAAAAATATTGACATATTATTCAACCAAAAAATATACAAAAATTACATTAAAAAATTTATTTTAATTTCATGGCTTTTCCAAAATTTTGAATTTCTTATACTGCATTAAACTTGTTCATAAAAAACATGCAATGAATCTATAAAATATTGCCATTTTGTTTGTGTCAGTTCTGATAATTATTCCTAAAGAGTATGGCACATACCAAACTGAATTCATTTATTTATTTTTTATCATTATTGTTTTGTTTTTATAACATCTAAAATGATTTTTGTTGTAAACCGTTTATTACTTTATTTAATATTATCAAATAAAAATGTTTCTCAAGTAATAGATCATTAATATTAAAAGTAAATTTTAAATTTTTCTAGCATTTCCATAACTAAGATTTTATAAACCTGACAAGCCTATGCCCAAAACACAGCTTTGGAACCTGGGACAACTTAACATGCATTGTAAAATATAACCATAAATACTTTACACTAACAAGTTAAATTTAAATGTTATTTCATTTATAAATAATAAACTTTATGCTCTTAAAATATAAAATTCTATAACATGAAATCTATTTTTGGTCTAGAAAAACCCTGTTCTATATCAGGAATACAGCCAATATGTAACAAGATAGATGCTTGGAAGTGTACAGTACATCACATGAAATATCTGCTTGTTTTGATACTGTTCTCTAATGAAGGTTTATCAATTTAAAAATAATATATTAGCCATAAATCAACAATTTTTAGTTTTTAGTTGTTTTTCAAATGGTTTTAAAAAGTTTTAATAACTGAAAATAAAAAATTTCTTGGAACATATTTTCAACTACAGTTGTCCCTTGATAATCCGACAGGTATGGGACCAAAGGTGTGTCAGATTACCAAAAGTGTCCGGATTACCGAAAATAATTACATATTTCGCATTGTTTTGCTAGCAGTAACTTACAATATTCTCTACTCCAACTGTTCGAACAGAACTGCTCACATAAAACACACGAAATGTGTGTCATCGAGTAAGAATTGGATGGGGAGATTCACATCGCAACATGCTTCTGTGCAAACAGACACGTAACGGGGACGGGTACCTTGACGGGAGGTGCGTCGGACTACTGAGCATGTCGGATTAAAAAACGTCGGACTATAGAGGGACAACTGTATTAAAATAAAATACTTCCAACAAATACCAGTAATTATTTTTAATATAAAGAACATCAAACATTTTGAAAATTGAAATGAATACATAAAATTAATTACTAGAATCAGATCATTTAATTAAAAACATGAGTAGACCTCTAGCTTCAAAGGGAGCTCAACTTATAAGGGGATAAGCCCCCTCAGCTTAGTCAGTAGTACCCATATGCAGTATATATAAAAGATGTGTTCACTTTCATCACTTAAACTTAGGCTATGTTACTTATTTTCTCAATTAAACTGTGGCAAAAAGGCTTACTGATTGATGGAAAAAGTCACAGTTTTTTCCTCTGGCCCCCAATGATTGATTCTTATGGGAATGAATATGCATATATAATCATAAGTATGGATAAATTTTATAGTTTCAACTGAAATCTTGAAATCTGTAAAATCTAAGTGCTTTCAAGCCTTCTATTTCATCTTAAAGGTCTAAGTTTTCAAAAAAGCAGCAAATTCTAAAAGCATTAACTTTAATTTTTTTGGAATATGTTTTAGAATATTAACATTTAAAAAATTATGTTTATTTTGAATTATTTTGCTTCCTTACACAGGCCCTAAAAATGAGCCAGCAAAATCTTGAAAGCACTTAGATTTTAAAGATTTCAAAATCTCATTTCAACAAAATAGTTTTCTAATACAAATTTCTTTTTATTTTTAATTCAGACATAAAGAGATTACATTTCAAAATAATTGATACTTTTAAGAATTAAACATTTTTATCTGAATGTGGAATATTAAATATTACATAAATATATAATAAAAGTAAATTCAGTTATGAATTTAAATGTGTTAATTACTGTTGTATCAGCATAAGAATATTTCCTTCTAATTATATCATATAAAAAGAAAATATAGTTCTTCCTAATACCATATTTGTTTTCATATATAAATCATTAAAAAGTTCTGACTGATGCAGCTTTCTTGCAACTTAAATAAAATAATTACATTATCAGAAATGTAATCAAACTATTTGTCTTTCTTCAATTTTTCTACTAAACCACTGTTGTGTGTATTTTCATTTTGTTATTTCTAAAAGCTAATAAACTGAAACAATTTTTTAATTATGATTACTTGTAATCATAATTAAAAAATTGTCTATTGTATATCACATGGCAATACTTTCAAACGGATAAACTTGTGGCAATAAGCAATTCTTAAGACTGAAAAAATAGATGTATTTTGAATAAAACGTTGACTTCAGACTACAATATGGATTTAAACAAAATATAATACTGCATTGTAAAATAACATTAAAAGAATTAACAAGAAAAACAGAGTATTAAAATATTTAAAGTAAAATATAACAGATATAATAAACACAGTATAAATAAAAGATATTATTTCTAATGATAATGGAAATTATACAACATTACTTAAAATTATATCAAATTTCATAAGTGCAATATGATATGCAATGTGAAATAAAAAATAAAATATATCAGAAAGTTGTTTTATTATATAGTGTTCAGTATTGTTAATCTTAAAATACAATTTATTAATTATTGGAATTTATTTAATGAAATAATGTAAAATCATTATTTATAGGTTCTAAAAACCATTTAAGCCTATATGATTTAAATAAACTACAAGCTTGTTTTAAAGATGATAATTTATTTCAAATTTTATTAAATATATTTGTAAGTTGACCTAGTTTCAGAATAAAATAGTAAAATGAAAATAAACTTAAGTTTAAAATGTAAAACTATATGCATATTTTAATTGATAATAATACTGATGATTAATGTATAATTTGTATGTGACTACTTAACTATTTTATATATTTACAAAAATCATATATGCTTATTATATTCATAAAAGTATTATCAAACAAATCAGAAAATTTACAAACAAAACCAGATTCAAAAATAAATTCAAACACCTTCTAATAATAATTTAGAATAAAATTTTAACATTTTAAAATTAAAATATTTCTAGCTCATTAATATAATAAAATTATTTACATGTGTAACATTATAATAATATCAATTCTTATAAATTTAGGTAAATATTGATTTTATAGAAATATTGGGGAGGTGGGAATGTAATTATTGAGTACTTTTATTTTATACAGTTTTGTAAAGATGATGCTATATAAAAATACAAAAATATTCAAAATTTTACTTTAACTTATATCTCATAAATTATTTAAGAATAAACATAAAAAAAATTTGACTTGATGTTATTATTTTAAATTAACTTCATATGAATCAATTTAAAGTAGAAAAATTTAAATCTAAGTGAATAAAAATAATCAGAGAAAGATATAAATCAAATCTCTAATACATAAACATTTTGAAAAAAATTCTTTGGATTCATCTGTTCTCAGATATAACTTATTTTTTAGGATAAAAAAGGAAGTTATATCTACAGATGAGACTTGAAGACGCTTCAAAAGTATTTACTAATATATATTAAAAGTATTACTTTTAAATTTTACCAGTTTATTTGAATTTACTGGTAAGGAGTCATCTAAACCGTGAAGTTAAATAATATATAACAACAAAACATAATAAAAATAAATTCAAATTTTAATCTCTGTCTGATATTTGAGATTTATTAAAACCCAAAATATTTAAATATTAAAGGAATTTTTTTTCTCTTTTTGTTAGTTCATTCTAGAGATCATATAACTTATATATAAATTTAAAAAGAAAAGTGTTTTAATTGCACACATTTAAAACAAGAAATTTTATTTTAAAAAAATATATATATAGAGATTATTCAAAATATATTCAAAAACAGTTTAAATTTTCATTAAATTTCCATTTAACTCAAAAAATGAAAATCTATTTCAATAGTGAATTCAAAAAAAAAATTTTAGAATATAGTTATGCAGTTATTGTTCATTGTTGATTGTGATTTTTGAAAATGATTGAAATGTTTAATATGTGTCACTGAAAACTGATTTTATATATTAATATATTTTCATTTTTGATAAATCAGTCTCAACACAATAACTGAATTTTTAGAAATTCTATTTTCTATTAAATAAAAGTTGATTTTATAACAAATAAATTTTATAAATTTATATTAAACAGATGAAGAACATAAAAAGTCTAGAATTACTTGCATAAATTGAATTTCATTATATTTTTTTTTGACTTTTCATTTTATTTTTCAAAATAATTTTCTTTATATCATCATTTATTTTGTAATTATTTAAAACAAATGATGATACAAATGAATTTTGCATAATTATAAACAATTCATATGCAAAATTTTCTTATAGCAACAAAATATATAAGCTAAATAAATTTTAAATTAAAGTATTATGTTTTATTATATGTTGTTATAAAATATTGAATGTTATAAAAATATTCATGAATGGAATACACGAAATATACTGGATATGTGTTTTCTACAAATAGGGCAAGCATCTTGTCTTTTAAGAAGCATTCTTCCACAGCTGGCACATGTACAGAGATGGTGACAAGGATGAAGAACACAGTTACGCTCTTCATCCATGCAAACAACACAATCTTTTTCTCGAGACACTGGAATATCTAAAATCAATTTAATGCTTTTAATTTAAATGGATATTTAATATTATACTGTAAATATATTCTTAATTTACAATAATGCATTAAATGAATATTAAATATTTCTATATTTATATTTCATGATCATGGAATAAAATTTTGTAAAAGTTTAGTAATTAAATCACTAAAATGTAAAATTTCAGTTGATTAAAAAAAGTAATATTTTATGAATAAAAATATTTAATATATACATTTTGCAGCAATAATCACAAATATAAATGATACTGTCTTTTGACATTAAGCTATTTTAATGATAACAAAAACAGCAAGTACTTTCAACATTGCACTAATGTCTTTTTCAGGAAATATAAAATACATTAAAAATACCATTAAAATGTTCACTTAATCCTTTTGGGGGTGCACCTTTTAGAATCTCGTGAGATGATGTTTGCAGCTATTATACTGCATATGTAATATTACTTCATATCCTGAAATAGTTAGTGTTTGTAAGGAGATGAGTCTGAATTTTACTTTTATTTTTGGAGTTTTTATTTAGTTCTTGTTATTATTTACTTTGGGACAAAAGCTCCAAGCCCAACCCAGGAAGAAAAGTTTAAATTCTAAAAATAGTAATTCTTACCATGACTGACACCGATACCACTCATGTTGCCAATCTATCACAGTATCTAGGATTGAATGATTTCCAAATTGGAATTAAAGAATGGTCCCTTAATCCCAATTGTAACTGATTCTAAAAATCAGAATTATTTTATTGAAAAGATTGATAAAGACAAATATGTTTGAAAGATTGCAAAAGAAAAATAACAATTATGTTAGACTAAATATGTAAATGAGTTTGCATATTTACAACTGTTTGGTACAACTGTTGTTATTATAAAAGAGCTTTTTGTCTCAAAAATTGTTGAAACTAATATCTCAAATACTATAGTAGAGATACCAGTAGCAGTGTAATAAGTCTCTGTTATCTCTAATGTAGTATTTGAGATATTAGTTTCAGCTGTTGTTATGTCACACCAGGAAGTATAAAAGACCCATCAAAACTAAAGAAAAGTAAGGTGAAGCTACTATAAGCAAGAAGTGAAGTTCCTGAACGAGTGCCTTTGGCAAATAAGGATTTCCAGACATTTTTCTTTGCTGTGACAGTTAGGTGAGTGTGGATCATAAAGATCTTTTTGTAATTTGTAAACTGGTTTTGGTTTTGTATTACTTATCAAGTTTTGTAGAGATAGAACTAACTTAGTACAGCAGAGCGTCGTTTATCCGAAAGCATTCCAGTTGGCAAATTTAAATTTTTGCTAGTGCTGTGGCGCTGCAATCTTCGGCTATTTCTCGGGCTACTCAAATATTTTACGTTTTTGATACTAAATTAACATCTGAAGTATAATTTTTTATTGTTTTTATATTTTTCAATAAATTTATTTTGTTTGTACAAAATAAAAAAATAATTTTTAGCGATACAATAGTCTTCCTTAGGCTTAACATCGACGAAAATTCAACGCAAAGCGACACGCAACGGAGAGAAATTTCAACATGGGATAAATTAATATATTTTTTCGTACATGATTCGTTATCCGAACCACCCCAGTCCCCAATTGATTCGGATAAACGAC